TCTACTTTGTTTGGTTGTTTGTTAATGATCACCCGAAGCATATATTCCCCCCATTAATTTTTAGAGAGAGTGGAGGGCAGGGAGAAGCCAGAGAGAAACATAATGTGAGAGAGACCCATGACCGGCTGCCTCCACATGTGCCCCACCTAAGCCAGAGATCGAGCCTGCAACTGAGGTACGTGCTCTTGACTTGAAATGAACCTGCAACCCCTTCAGTCTGTGGCTGATGCTCCAACTACTGAGTCAAATCGGTCAGGGCTGAGTCTACTTTTGTGGCTTCTAGGAAAGTGGTCGTCAACCTTTCGGACCTCACGGACCACCAGTTGGTGACCGCTGCTCCCAAAGGTTTCCTTAAACCAGTGGTCGCCAACCTTTCTGATCTCATGGACCACCAGTGGTTGGCGACCGCTGTTCTAGGACACTGCTTCTCGCACCGGCGTTGAAGGACCAATTTTTAAAATTTCCAGTCTATCTGGACAGATTAAAAAATTTTATAAAATAAAAAAGGGATTGCCCAGCCAGTGTTGCTCAGTGGTTGAGCATCAACCTATGAACCAGGAGGTCAAGGTTTGATTCCTGGTCAGGGCATATGCCTGGGTTGTGGGCTCGATCCCCAGTGTGGGGCATGCAAGAGGCAGTTGATCAATGATTCTCTCTCATCATAGATGTTTCTATCTTTCTCCCCTCTCCCTTCCTCTCTGAAATAAATAAAAATATAAAAAAATAAGATAAAAAAGGGATTGATTACTAAGAAAAGAACCTAACTGAAAAAGACACACAGAATGCTCACTCTAATTTTTTATTATTAGATTCTTATTATTAGATTCAACAGATACAAAATTACTCTATCATACTGCTGTAAAAGTTTCTAAAGCTTATTCGCAACTTCTGAATTTAATTTTGATTGCAGACTGTTAAACTATGCATTGTCTGATTCATTTTGAAAGCAGTGATCTAGGAAGAGTTTGTTAAGCAAATTAGTAAACAGGATGTTTTTGGAATATTTACATGACTTAAGAGTAAAAAAGCCTTTCAGTTGACATTTAAAATACTTGAGGTGTTTATTCACAGATGATCTAATTACAGTGACATCTTTTCAGTAAGTTCCACATTAAGGATAGGGATGTAGAATAAATATGGGGTGGGCAAAAATAGGTTTACATTGTATAGAAAATAATACATAATCCTATATAATAAAACCCTAATATGCAAATCGACCAAACGGCAGAACAACCGGGAACGACTGGTCGCTATGATGCACACTGACCACCAGGGGCAGATGCTCAATGCAGGAGCTGCCCCCTGGTGATCAGTGCACTCCCACAGGGGGAGCACCGCTTAGCCAGAAACCGGGCTCACGGCTGGTGAGCACAGCTGTGGTGGTGAGAGCCTCTCCCACCTCTGTGGCAGCGCTAAGAATGTCCGACTGACAGCTTAGGCCTGCTCCCAGGGGACATCCCCTGAGGCTCACAGATTGCAAGAGAGCGCAGGCTGGTCTGAGGGATCCCCCTCCCGAGTGCACGAATTTCGTGCACTGCACCTCTAGTCGCATATAACAAAGAGGTAATATGAAAATTGACTGTCACACCCTCGCACAAGGTGGCCGGCAGGCGAGGGCAGTTGTGGGTGACCAGGTCAGCAGAGGAGGACAGTTGGGGGGGACCAGGCCTGCAGGGGAGGGCAGTTAGGGGTGACCAGGCTGGCAGGAAAGGGCAGTTAGGGGTGACTGGGCCTGCAGGAGAGGGAAGTTAGGGGCAACCAGGCTGGCAGGGGAGGGCGGTTAGGGGCAACCAGGCCAGCAGGGAGGGCAGTTGAGGGCAACCGGGCCGGCACGAGAGGGCAGTTGGGACAACAGGGCCAGCAGGGGAGGGCAGTTGGGGGCACCCAGGCTGGCAGGGGAGGGCAGTTGGGGGTGACTGGGCCTGCAGGGGAGGAAGGGCAGTTGGGGGGGACCAGGCCTGAGGGGAGAGCAGTTGGGGGCAACCAGGCTGGCAGGAGAGGGCAGTTGGGGGCGATTGGGCCGTCAGGGGAGCAGTTAGGCGTCAATCAGGCTGGCAGGCAGAAGTGGTTAGGGGCAATCAGGCAGGCAGGCAGGCAGGCAAGCGGTTGGGAGCCAGCAGTCCCGGATTGTGAGAGGGATGTCTGACTGTCGGTTTAGTCCCTGTGGGATCGGGCCTAAATCGGCAGTTGGACATCCCCCGAGCGGTCCCGGATTGGAGAGGGTGCAGGTTGGGCTGAGGGGACCCCCCCGTGCACCAGGCCTCTAGTTAATAAATAACAGACTAAACTTTTGTGTACTCACAACTGTAAACCTACTTTTGCCAACCCCTGTGAGCCAAAGAACTGAAGCTAGTGTGGCTATTATAAAGGATCCATAGGTTTAAACTAGTTGCGGTACTTGTAAAAATAGGTGCTTTTACTTGCTCTGTTGTTTCTGAGAGCCATTGTACATTCTTTTGCTCATTTCATTTGTTAGTATGTTTATTAATTTTTGGATTGCCTTTGATTTGATTTTTATATTTTAGCATATAATGTTAGATATATTCTTTTAGGGGAAAGGTTCCCTAAGCAAACATTTACTTACAAATTTTCAGAGTTATATATGCTGACATAGAGATCCTGTAATAATTTAATTTGTTCATATTTTGAATTTGAGTTTTGGCTCTAGCTACCTGAGCTCCCAGAGTACTCTTACCACTCAGGACTAGGCTTCTAAATGCTCAGGTTTTGAGTTTGCTCAAAGATGCCTGTGATTTTGAGGTCCTCTCTTATTTCTCAGTATTTTATTTGTTATCTGAAAAGTCAAACTCGAGAATGCTCGGTAAAGTGCACAGGCCTCTTTGGAAAGAGGATATCTTCAGAAGCTACACAGGGCAGGGGTGATTGGTAGAGAGCTGTGTGCCCCAGAGCAACGCACAGGCCCCAGTGGTATTTAAAGGTCGCAGTCAGCAGCGTAGTTTTCTCCACCTGTGGTTTTGGAACAAGAGTGGGAGGGGTGGGTTTCCTCTATGTCAGCCATAACAGCCCTGCGCATTGGGTTGCACAGGACATTGCTCACGAAGAAGAGAACCTGACTTAAAAGGAGGGAGGCACATTGGAAAGTCATATTTAGCCCAAGTCAGAGTCATTTGCCTTTACCTTTAGGGTGTGTGACTGTTTTCTCCCTGTCTCCTTTATGGTCAACAGACCTGGGTTCCAAATCCAGTCCTGCCACGTTCTAGGTAGGTATGGTGACCTTGGCTGAGTTATTTAACTTCCCAAAACTTGTTTTCTCATCTGTAAAGCGGGGGAATATTGTCTACTTAGAAGGATTATTGTTAGGATGAAAGATGATGCATGTTCTGCACTTGAGTGAGTATGGGCTCCATGGGTGACAGTTACCTGAGAGTGAAGGTGGGGGAAGGATGGGACCTGGTAAGGAATGCCTGCTTACAGCAGTGGTTCTCAAACCGGAGTGGAGCACGTTGGGATCACCCAGAGCCTTTAAATGCAGTTCTGGGCCCACCCTAGTGTCTGATCATTTGGTCTGGGTGGGCTTGAAAACTGGCATTTTGAGTGTTCAGGTGCTGCTGCTGCTCTCTGGTCTGGGGACCACACTGTGAGAATATGGGGCTGCAGGTGACTCACCCATGAGCATGGAGGGGCTGAGCTTTCATGTGGTTAGAGGCGCTCTGTTAGAAAATGCTTGAATGCATTTTGCAAATACTGAATTTAGTATCTCAAGGATTTTTCCTGAAGACCAGGAGTCTTAGTTAAATATATTTGAAGAAGAATAAGTTGTGAAAGTAACAGTTATAAGCATTTTATGAGTAGTCTAATAATGTCAAATTGGCTAAGGTATGTGAAAGTGCTTTGATAAAATGCTAAAATCTGAAAAAGTATTTTAAATACCTTTGTTTTTAAGATTGAACATCATAGTGGAGTATAAAATAGTATAACTTAGATTTCTCATCTCAATGTGCTGTTTACCGTATGTGTTTTTCTCTTTCTCCTCCAGGCTGCTGACTTGAGTAAACCAATAGATAAAAGGATATACAAAGGAACACAGCCTACTTGTCATGACTTCAACCACCTAACAGCCACAGCAGAAAGTGTCTCTCTCCTAGTGGGCTTTTCTGCAGGCCAAGTCCAGCTTATAGACCCAATCAAAAAAGAAACTAGCAAACTATTTAATGAGGAAGTAAGTAGTACCCTGTCTTAGCTGTTAAGAATCCCTTTAAGAATGTATATGTCCTTACCAAGGGGAGTGGGCCTTATTTTACACTTTTGAGCTAAGCCCATTTCTCTTTCTCTCAGTCCTACCTAGTCTCACCCAGTTTAAATGTGGTGAATGAACTTGTTGACTTTTGCCTGTTCTTCCCTGGGATAACGGTTTTGTGTGTGTTTTTTTGTGGAGCATGCTCAGGTGTCTGTAGCAGGTATTTTAAAACTCCATTATAATGGAGATAGGGGTAAGACTGTGACTTGATTTTTATAAATTAAATAAGAAAATGTAGAATTCCAGACCTTGTTCGCATGACCAGAAATTTTCATGCAGACCAAGGAGCTTGATGTTTAGCTAGGCAGCTTACATGGTACTAAAGCTTTGGTATGTATGTCTGACAGTCCTTTGGCTAAGGAGCAATTCTCTTGCTCTTGAAAATATTTGCTGCTAAATCACCTTTGACACAGTTAGAAATCCTGGCACTTAAAATTGGATCACACAACAGAGCTTTTGCCAGTGTTGTAGTATGTACTGGGGTTTCTAGTATCTTCAGTTTCATTCTGGAAGGAGCCGAGATATCTGAGCTGTCTGTTCAGGAACATATCAAGACTGTGAAACGTGGCAGGTAGAAGTTGCCAAATAGGTTATGTTTGTGAAAACTGTTGGAGTGGCTTTTTGGCCCTAAGAATTGCGATGTTCTCCCTCCGGTATTTCCTATGACTCTCCTAGCCCGTGGGAAAGATAGCGTAGGTTGGCCAATTTACAAGTCCTGGGTTCTCCTCTGTGTGTGACCTCAGCGCTGATCTGACAGGGTCAGGTTGAGTGGGATTCCTCTTCTCAGGAAGGACATGTGGTCTCCCACTGTCACATGATTTTTTAAAAAATATGTATTTTTATTGATTTGAGAGAGAGGGGGGGAAGGAAAGGGATAGAGATATGGAAACATCGATGAGAGAGAAATATTGATTGGCTGCCCACAACCCGGGCATGTGCCCTGACCTGACTGGGAATCGAACCAGTGACCTTTTGATGCATGGGTCAACGCTCAACCACTGAGCCACACTGGCCAGGCACTGATGCATGATCTTAACACCATTAATTTGGAACAGAAGCACATTATAGATTCTGGTTTTTAAGAAATAATTTTGTTTGGGGGAGAATATTCAACTTAACACATTGCAGTTAAAATTCTGATTCTTTTGCAGTCATTATGGTACAAGTTGCTCCTGGGTGGCTTTGCCAGTGGACTTGGTGAACTGATTTGAATCATGACATCTCCTCTTCTAGTTTCATCTGGGTTGACTGGAAACAAAAGTTGCCATCTGGACTGACAGATTGTAGAGGAAAAGTATTTAAGTCCATTTTCCACTAACAAAACTTAAGCAGAAAATTATTCAATTTACCTAGATATTTGACTAATATCATCTGAGGAAGTGATTTCTAAATTAGTTGATGATACTTAACTTTTTTGGTGGGGGAGAGTGGACACAAAACCATCCTTCTCTGCACTGTTGGTAGAAATTGTGAGGATTTGTTTGCATGGAGGTAGGAGCGTGTTACTGACGGGGAGGGGATTGGGACCATGTAAAGTGCTGTGGTAAAAAAGGTCAGGAGGCTGCTCTGGCCAAGGATGGCATGGAATGCCACTTAGAGGACAAGGGTTTGTGTGTCATCGATGGAGGGTGGAGCCAGAGACCACGGGTCTCTGGAGTCTCAGGGCCCTGAGAGCACGCAGGCATCAGCCAGGCCTGCCCCTCACTCTGGACACCTGGAAGTTGCAGGTTAGAAAGCACCTTCTTGCTCTTAGTGATCTAGGCATGAGTTACCTCATACTCTTTTCTAAATTTATCTTTATTGTTGAAAGTATTACAGGTGTCCCCTTTGTTCTTTTTCTTTTAAATTTTTATTTCAGAGAGGAAACCAGAGGGAGAGAGAGATAGAAACATCAGTGATGAAAGAGAATCGTTGATCAGCTGCCTTCTGCACCCCCCCCTCCCTACCCCCCACTAGGGATTGAATCTGCAAACCTGGGCATGTGCCCTGACTGGGAATCGAACACTGACCTCCTGGTTCATAGGTCAACGCTCAACCACTGAGCTATGCTGGCCGGGCACCTCACACTTTTTTTTAAATTAATCTTTATTGTTGAGATTATTACAGATGTCCATCTCCCCCCCAATAACTTCCCTCCACCCGGTTCCCACCCCACACCACCCCAGGCCCTCACCACCCTATTGTCTGTGTCCATAGGTAATGCATACATATGCATATAAGATGTTTGTCTAATCTCTTCCCGCACCCCCCCACATCCCCTTCCCTCTGAGAATCATCAGTCTGTTCCATTTCCATGCTCCTGATTCTATTCCATTCACCAGTTATTCTGTTCATCAAATTTTTTATTCATTTGATTTTTAGATTCAATTGTTGATAAATACGTATTTGTTGTCACTTTATTGTTCATATTTTTTATCTTTTTTCTTCTTCTTCCTCTTCTTAAAGAATACCCTTCAGCATTTCGTATAATATTGGTTTGGTGATGATGAACTCCTTAGCTTTTTCTTGTCTGTGAAGCTCTTTATCTGACCTTCAATTCTAAATGATAGCTTTGCTGGGTAGAGTAATCTTGGTTGTAGGTTCTTGCTATTCATCACTTTGAATATTTCTTGCCACTCCCTTCTGGCCTGCATAGTTTCTCCTCACACTCTTTTTGCATTTTGTTTGAAAAATGGCTATTCAAAGGCATGAACTATGTGTGATTAATGCCAACATGGCACTTCACCTCGAAGCTGAGCTTGATTGTCCTTCACAGTGAGGAAGCTCTCTGGCTGTGCGGGTGACATTTTCATCAGGTTTTGGTCGGGCTGTCTAAGAGCAAGGGTCGTCAGAGGTGTGTGTCTCAGAGAGCCCAGGTATGGGCTGGCACAGTCGTCATGCTTTGCAGGGGGATGACAGTCAGGGTTTATAGCAGTGATGGCGAACCTATGACACACGTGTCAGAGGTGACACACGAACTCATTTTTTTGGTTGATTTTTCTTTGTTAAATGGCATTTAAATATGTAAAATAAATATCAAAAATATAAATCTTTGTTTTACTATGGTTGCAAATATCAAAAAATTTCTATATGTGACACGGCACCAGAGTTAAGTTAGGGTTTTTCAAAATGCTGACACGCCGAGCTCAAAAGGTTCGCCATCACTGGTTTAGAGCGTTTTAGATGGCCTTTCTGTCCAGGGGCATGGGCCGTTGTCCCAATGTTTCAGATGAGGAACTTGTCAAAGGGAAGGTAAGTGAATTGTCCAGGTCAGGTACATCTTGGTGTTAGGGATAGAACTATAACTTAATTCCACAAGCTCGTACTGGTCATGGACAGTAAGCCCCACCACATATGGCTGCAGGAAGGGCAGGCCCTTGTCCTCTCAGGAGCGCCCAGTTTAGTAACATGGGCAGACAGTGTACTGCGCTATGTGTTATCCCAGTGTTAGGAACTTAGTACCAGGGATATGTGTTAACTGAATTCTTCAGTGTGTATCAAATATCATAAAATCAAATCAAAAGTTAGCTCGGTGGAAGAGGGCCAAGAAGGCTTCCAGAAGTGACATTGGATATCTGGGTCTTGACAGATGCAGAGGAGGTGAGAAAGGCCTTCAGAGCTGGATTAAACAACTTGGCATATGGAGGAACAGCGCCGAGCCCAGTGTGGCCAGGCCCCAGTTTGTGGGCCTCAGTGGCAGGAGTCTGAGCCAGGCAGATAAACTACAGCCAGACTGAAAAAGCCCTTTTGTGACATGCTAACCAATCTGGATATGACACTGGAGGCTGTGGGGGAAGCTTTGGGCTTTTACTCAAGGGAGTGACAGGATCAAATGTGTTTTTTTAGAGCTCTTGTCAGCACTTGTGGAAGGTGGATTGGAATGAAGAAAGAGAGAATGAAGGTAGCAAGACCAGTGAGGAGGCTCTAGTAACTGTCCAGGTGAGAGCTGAGGGCTTGAACTAGAGTTGTGGCCATTTTTTCATTCATTCGACAGACCTTGATTACCTACTATGTGCCTGGCACTGGGCCTACATTGGCAGATTTCTCTCTCATACACACACAGACACAAACACACAGCAAATGGTGACTTGTGATGTAAGTGGAGACAGTGGGCCTGAGAGAGAGAAAATGGAGGCCACTGTAAACGGGGAGGCAGAGAACATGTGCTTTCATCTCGGCCTCACATGAAAAGGAGGCCAGTCAGGTAAGGAACTGGAGGTAGAGTGCTCCTGCAGAAAGAAGAGCAGGTGAAGGCCCGGGAGTGGGGAAGAACTTGGGGCCCAGAGAACTGAGAGAGGATGGTGTACCTGGGGAGGGTGGTGCCAACTGAGGGCCTTACCCCTCGGGGTCTGGCCCAGGTCTGCGTCTTCACCTGTGCCGTGGGGTCCCATAGAAGGGAGCAGGAGCACGAGGCAGTCAGATGGCGATTTTGAAAATGACCCTGGCTGCTTCTTGGAAACCAAATCGGCGGGGGGCGGGATGAACAAATTGTGGGTTCCTGGAGATCCTGGATAAAAGGAAGGAGTCGGTGTTGGGGAATGGAAGGAGAGATCCAGTTCCATTCTGTACTTACTAAACCTGAGAGGCCAGTAGGTGGTTGCATACATCATCTAAAGCTCAAAACTAGAGGTAAAAATTTGGGAGTTGTCAGCATATAAATAGTAATCACATCCTTGAGATTAGAAGAAAGGTCTGTGAAGAAAGTTTAGTAAGAGCAACAACAGTGCCTGGACCAGGTCCTGATTGTACTCCGAGATTCTGGCCATCACATCATCCTGTCTCCAAAGGAGCTTTTAGCACAATCAGTTTATTACTGCGAATTTGCAGACTCAGCCCAGTGGCTCAGAATGTGGAGCCTGAGGCCGAGGCCTTGGGTTCAGACACCAGCCCTTCGCTGACTGCTTGCTGCTGTGGGCCTGTCACTGCAGCTCCTCTCAGCTGGA